GTAGTGGTGACGGCAACGAGGAGAATGACCGCAATGGTTCCGCTGGAATTGGTAGCAGCCCAGGCCGGCGAGAAGCTGGATTTAGGGTTCAGGGTTTAGGATTTAGGGGTTCAGGGTTTAGGGTTTAGTGGTTCAGGGTTTAGGGTTTAGTGGTTTAGGGTTTAGGGTTTAGGGTGGTGTAAAGGTATTGGCAGCAGTGCTGGAACCACTACCGGATGTGGAGGTGGCCACCATGACCCAACAGGGAAAGGCTCGGGAGACATGAGGAATCTTGCCCCAACGACGACGACACTTCTTGCAGAGCTTAAACCCCAAGGCTCAAAATAACTCAAAAGCCTTATATAGTGTGGTCTTTGGGCCCGAAAGCCTATATGAGCCCTTGGAGAATTAGTAGGGAAAGCACTTTAACCCTAAAACCTAAACCCGGGGGGAGAGGTTTACGAAAGTCGGTCTATAACCCGGAGCCTATAGCACGGTTTAGGGTTTAGGGCTTAGGGTTTCAGGGTTTTGGGTTTGGGGTTTCGGGTTTAGGGCTTAGGGTTTAGGGTACCGAAAACCCTAGTGTTCGGCCAGGGCGCCGCCCAAGTACTCTACAGCATTCCCCTCGAAGGCGTCGGCATTCTCGGGCGTGATCTGCTGGAAGAGAATGTCTCCAGTGTACATCTGCAGCTGGGTCTGGTCCTGCTCAAGACTCGAGCTCACAAAGAGCACGGCACTACATAACCCTACGGGTTCACGCGCCCAAATAGTATATACTGTGGCCTTAAAGTAGTCCCTACACCGGTACTTTGGGGCCAAAGTATATACTACTTGGGCACATGGACCCTTGGGATAAGTAAAGAAAGCGCGAAGCCATAAGGGAAATAAACGCGAAGCCTTACATTCTTTGAGGTCTGTGCTCCCCGGAACCCTTGGCTGACTTCTGAACCCCTCCAGACGTTAAACTTTTAGCGTAGATAGAACAGTTCATATCGAAACTCCAAAAGTTAAAGTCCTAAGAGCCAGCCCGAAGAACGCCAACCCTAATTACTTAGCCCTAAGCCCTAAATTACCAAACCCTAAACCCTAAATTACTAATCCCTACATAAACCCTAAATTACTAAACCCTATAAACAGAATTTGCCAATGCTTTGAAACATCGACGCCGGCTAAAAAGAACAAAACGTCCGAAGCCGCCCACGTACCCAAAACCACCCAAATCCGAAACTTTTCGGGTTTAGGGTTTGAGGGTTTTTGGGTTTAGGGTTGAGGCTTTAGGGTTTGAGGGTTTGGGGTTGAGGTTTTAGGGTTTGAGGGTTTAGGGTTGAGGGTTTAGAATTTAGGGTGTTAGGGTTTCGGGTTTAGGGCTTGCAGGTTTAGGGTTAAGGGTTTAGGGCGGCAGCGAAACCCCATGACAACCTAGCATGGAAAACACGAACCTCCAGAAAGGACCTACCAAACCCGCAGATACAACCTTCGGGTTTAGGGGTTTAGGGTTTAGGGGTTTAGGGTAAGAGCCCGAAGCCCGAAGCGGGGTATGGCCTTGAAGCGCCCAGAGTTTTCGATTCGGGAGAAAGCATTGGTGTAGTACTCCTGAGATTCTAACCCCCATCCTAAGCACCTAAACCCCTGAACCCTAAACGCTAAAGCCTAAACCCTAAACCCTAAAGCCCTAAACCCCTGAACCCTAACGGGTTTTAGAATTGTGGGCTTCCGGGTCTGTGGGGCTCTGGGCTTGAAGGCTTGGTTAGGGTTTAGGGTTAGGCTGGTTGGGTATCGGGTTCAGAGCTTAGGCCGTAGGGTTTGAGATTTTGAGGGTTGCGGGCTTAGGTTTCAGGGTCGTAGGCGTAGGGTCTGAGATTTTGAGGGTTTAGGGTTTGGGGTCGTAGGCGTAGGGTTTGGTATTTTGAGGATTTAGGGGTTTTGGGGTTTTAGGGTTTAGGGTTTAGGGCTTTAGGGTCTTAGCGTTTAGGGTTTAGTGAGAAAAAGGGCTTGGAGCTTCGTTTTTTTGGTTTTGGGCTTCTGGGTCTTTCAGTTGTCGATCTGCTTTCCATAACTTCTATAAGGTATATAGACTTTCTATAAGGCTTCCTATAACGGTAACTACCCACCTGAAAATGTTCTAGACAACCCTAAACCCCAAACCCTACATCATGATGGGAGCTTTTTGGTTTGTTCTTGCGGTCCCTCTCACAGACGGATTCTACATGGTTCGACGGTCCATGGCCTAAGCCCCAAACCCCTGAACCCCTAAACCCTTTAGGGTTTATAGAGTTTAGGGTTATGGGGTTTAGGGTTTACAGAGTTTAGGGTTTATAGAGTTTAGGGTTATGGGGTTTAGGGTTTACAGAGTTTAGGGTTTATAGAGTTTTGGGTTTAGGGTTTACAGAGTTTAGGGTTTATAGAGTTTAGGGTTTAGAGAGTTATAGGGTTTAGGGTTTATAGAGTTTTGGGGTTTAGGGTTATAGGGTCTATATCCCAAGTAGGGCCGAGGTCAGCTAAAGGGTTCCTTACAGGGCAATTTCCATCAGGGTTTATCGGATTTAGGGTTTAGGGTTTAGGGTTTAGGGTTTAGGGTTTAGGGTTTAGGATTTAGGGTCAAGAGGTTTAGGGTTTAAGGTTTCGGGTTTAGGAGTTTAGGGTACAAGGGCTCATGTACTCATGTAGTATATACTTTGGGCTTAGAGTAATCTCTATAGAGGTACTTTATGGCCAAAGTATGTACTGCATGAAGAAGCGCCACACTCGAGAAAATAACCTCGAGCATCAAATAGGGATCCGAATACTGGGGCTTTTGGGCTTAGGTTTAGGGTTTAGGGTTTAGGGTTCTTGTGGTCAAGAGGCAAAGGATCGCGACCAGCTCCTTAAACTAAACACCCTGCACCCTATGCCCTAAGCCCATACACACTATGAACAAACAGGAACCACATACCTAGACACTACAACTTCGTACTTTCATGGGCTACTGTATTCCTTGCAAATATTCGATCGCAACAGCAATATCGGTTCTTCGGAAAAGGTACTACACCCTAAACCCAAAACCCTAAACCCCTAAACCTACACTGTAGGTCAAGGAAGGACGGAACTTCCCAGAGCCTCAAAACCCCCTACCCAGAGAACCCAATACCCCTTAACTAAGGAATATACCTTAAATCATAATATGAAGGCCCCTGAAATTTAAGGTGTATTCCTCAATTAAGGGGTATTGGGTTCTCTGGGTATAACCCTACACCCTAAACCCTAAACCATTACAGGAGCCTCCAAAACCCCTAAACCCAAAACGCTCTGGGTTCTTTCCCAGCCGCCGGAGTGTTGCACATCAGGTTCGTCCTGCAAGGCTGCAGAGTCCGGACACAGAGCAGGTTAGGTCTAGGGTTTAGGGTGTAGGGTTTAGGGTTTTAATGGCGTACCCTAAACCCTGAACGCTGAGGGTGTAACCAGAGAACCCAATACACCTTAATTAAGGAATATACCTTCAGTTATAGGGGCCTTATTAGCTCATAGTCGCCCAACAACGCCACAACAAAGTAGTCCTTCGAGTCTGTGGTTAGGATGTAGGGTTCGTCTGAAGATCTTCTCATTCATTAGCCCCCGAAGAATGTAAAACTTCTATATACTTCCGGTGGGCTAGTTTTCATGCCCTACCCTTCTTTAGGGTACCTAGTTCTTTAGTTAGGATCTGCCATAATATAGAAAAGCAAGTAACCTAAAACAGGGGCAGGGTATGAGCCTCTAGATAGGGTTCACCAGTGCAGTCTGCTCTCTGCACCCTCCCTCTCAGCAGGGTCCAGGGACTGTAGAAGAAGGCACCGTCCAAAGGACGCTTCAGAAGATGTGGCCTTGCCAAGTTGTAGTAGTGAGGATCGCTAATAATTAGCGGTTTTGGGGCTTTAGGGTTTTAGGGTTTAGAGTTTTAGGGTTTAGGGTTAAGGGTTAAGGGTCTAGGGTTTCCAGTAATTAGCTAGTAGCTCGTAGTTTGCAGGTAGTAGCCAGTAGTGAGTAGTTAGTAATCAGTAGTTCGTAGTAAGTAGCAGCAGCAGCAGCAGCAGCAGCAGCAGCAGCAGCAGCAGCATCAGTGGCTGCGGAAACGGCAGCAGCATCCGCAGAACGAATAGGAGGAGTGGAAGAGTAGCAGCAGCAGTAGCAGCAGAGCCGAAACATGAATCTCTTGCTCTTGGTCTTAGTCGCTCCAGTGAGCAATGTTGCCAGCAATAGTTTCTATCCAAGTTCACATTCATGTGAGCAGTACCGTGATGGCCACGTTATAGACGAAGTGCAGTAGCCCCGACAGAACAAAGGAGGAATTTTTGATGGCTATCGCATGCCATACCGAAAAGAAGGCAGCTGTCGCACGCGATCAAAGTCGACAACTTTCGCTCACAGTTTGCAATAGGCTTGCGCCGGTACACTTGGAGGCTGGGACTCTGCAACCAGGGTTACAGATAGATCCAGTACCTTGAATTGGGCAAGCCGGCACGCAAACCTGCTGCACATCTGCTTGCCAGTTCTTCTAATCTGCTAATTATTGCAGCACCCTTGCGCAATCAGCACCTGCGAGTGAACCAATAAGATCCTAAAAGCTAGAGGCTAGAAGAGTAACAATGCTGCGAGTTGGAAACCGAGCCTAACGACCTTGAGAACCAATCCAGGGTAGCCTACATAGATGCGAAGGAAAAGCCAGACGCACATAGCTGATTCGTACGTCCCCACAGAAGCGCGCATCCTACCTCGCTAACACCATCCATAAGCTGAGCCCGTAAACTCTAAAATCCCAAACCCATTGGCTTCAAGTTGCATCTTCTTGAGCGTGAGCACGAGGGACATAGTGGTACCTAGGTTCCGGGTGTAGGGCTCAGCAAGTCCCAGAGAACCCGATACACTTTAATTAAGGAATATACCTTATATTATAGGAGCCGTAATATTATGATTTAAGGTATACCTTAAATCAGAATATTACGGCTCCTATAATATAAGGTATATTCTTTAATTAAGTTAAGGGGTATTGGGTTCTCTGCGGTGTTGCTCCTACTGTTCGGGGACGAAGGGAAACCCCCAGGCAGAAGAATTAAGAAGAGCGCCTAAAACCTTCAAGGGAAGTTCTCTAAGATATTGTGCCTTTTTGGGTCCCCAATATAGTACGACACCCTTATAAAAAGGACCCGAAAACGGACCCTAATTTAGAAAACTACCCAAAGGCCTGAAACGGATGCCGAGGCACCACCACCGGAAGAGTCACCTCCGACAAAGAGTGGCGGCCGCTCTTTTCCACAGCCTCGACGGATCGGGTCGAGGACGAAATGAGGCGTGAAACATTTTAATAACTGCCTAGGGTTTTTGGGGTTATGAGGGTTCCAAGCTTAAGATTTAGGGTTTAGGGTTTTAGGGTTTAGGGGGTTTAGAGGGCCTCATCCCGGTGGAGGGAAACGGCTCGGAACAGGGGCGGAGGGTATGGGTTTAGGGTTTAGGGTTTAGGGGATGTTCCACAGATTCCATACGGCTCCTTTGTATAACTACAGTATCATTACCCCCAACCCTGTCCGAGTTATTAAGGCCCCCTATGTTATAAAAGGCTCAAGAGGACATCGTAAGCAAGCGCATGGCAGAGCGGGGCGGCTTACACTGTATAGGGTTTAGGCTTTAGGGCACCTGCAACCCTTCGGGGTTACTAAATTTCCTGCGATCTA